CCACTGGTTGAAAGGAAATGAAGGTGGGTACTTTTTTGCTTCACAGCTTGTTCTAACAAGGAACTTATATACAGAAACAAGCTACTTCCATAAGCACAGAGCTGCTCTACCTGTCTGCAAGTTATTTTCCTTTTTAAAAATTAAAAATTACATTAGAAATGGCAGGGATGTGGGGATGTGTCTCTCAACTCTATCAGGAAGCAGTATAAAAGAGCAGGTTTTGTAGGTCTATTGTCTTGATTTCAAAAAGCCAAACTATATTTTAGACCTATTAATATGCTTTCCCTTGTCAGAAGTGTAGCACCATCACTAATACCTTCCTTCTATTAAGAGGAAAACCCCCACAGTTCTTCAAAACAAAAAGTGGTGGTTTTGAAATGTTCTGCAAGTTCCTCAACAATAATGGTAATTTTTGATCATGCTTTTACTCTAGATCAGTAGAAAATTACTGAATCTGAATGTTATTGCTCCCCATCCCTCTTTTCTGTGTGGTAGCCCTGGACTGCATCTTCTCATGCATTCATTTGATTGCTTCAGGGTCCTTTAAACCTCCAAACTTCACCAGGGTTATGGTGAAGTGTGCATGATGGCTTTTATCCAGAAGGGCCTGAAGGCACTTGATGAACTCTAGCAGGATGCAATCACACACAGCCTACTCACAGCTCTGCAAAATCCAAAAGGTTGTAGAGATCAAGAGATCATTAAGTCTGTCCCTCCCAGCAGGATCAATTATACTTGGGCTGTTTCTGACAGAGGCCGCCTAACCCGTTCTGTAAGACTTCAAATAATGGAGGTTCCACAGCTCCCTTCAGCTTCTTAAACCAGTGCTTAACTCTCCTTGACATCAGGTTTTTCAACCAAATTCAAGCTCTCTGCTGTAATTCAACCTTATTGTCTCTTGTCCTATAAATTTCTTATATAAATCTTTAATGTTTGTTCTTATGACACCAAATGCAGTCATCTTTTCTTAAGACTATGCAACATAGTTTGATTTGGTATTTTCTCAAAGGCCAATGTTTTCTAAGCAAGAGGAGCTGTTTCCCCCTCGCTGAAACTACCTGCTGTGGTAAGCACTTCAGGTTTTTGCAGGCACTGCCAGCCCTAAAATGACAGTCACCAAAAGGAATGGAAGTGCCCCCCTTGCACAGTTAATGAGAGGTTCTCTTGAAGAATCTGCTGAGAATCAGAGCCCCAGCTCTTTTTTCCTGCTCTGTGTTGGTTAGAAATACAAGTAATTTGCCATCAATTCCCAGGCAGTTCATTTGTCACACTGACAGAGTCACACAGAGTTTGGTTCGGACTCAAAAGAAGATTTGAATGCCTGCTGGTTGTGTCCCTCTTCAGCTTTTGGAAAAAAGAAAAACCTAAAGAAAAGTCAGACAATCAAGATCTGAGCAAAGCCTTTCTGCACTGCTTTTTCTATTCTGCTGCTCTTTAGACCTGTTCAACTATACTAATAAATACAATACAGAACAATTAAATCCCCAGCCCATTACACTCAGGAAGTTAAAACTAGAAGACAAGGCCTGATTAAAAAAAAAAAATCTTACCATCTAACTAGGTAAGACAGACTGTAATAAAGAGGTAGATCATTAAAAATGAGGAAAAAAGCTTCCTCACCAATGTCAATGTAAACAAAATATCCACAAAAAATAGATACATCCTAAATTAGAAAACTAAGGATGTAGCTGCAGGGAGTATGTGTGGGGTTTTCTGCAAAATTACTGTTTCCCCCAACCCTGTCACATGCCTGTCCCACTCCTGACCTGGGAGATCTTTCAGCACTAAACAGCCCTTCATTACCACTGAGCTTCAGCAGGCAAACATAAATTGGGTAACATGACCGGCACAAGAGAAATTGAGTTACCATTTTTTGGCCGGTGACTGAGGCAACAAATCTCACAGTTCACCTCCTTATTTCAAGAGGGGAGTAGGAGACACAGAAGCTACCAAGTCTGAAGGACCCCCGCCCTAGCACATATCTCATGTCTTCCCCCATGAAGAACTGCTTGAAATATAACTTATAATAAACAAATAATGCCTAAAATGTTCATGAAGCATTATTAGTTTAAAATAAAAACACTTTCTAACCTGATTGCAATATATGTTGCCTCTTCAATCCTCTTAATATAGTTTTAACTTACCACAAATTTAGAGAGCTCTCAGGAAAACCATAAAGTTTGCACACATGAAGCAATAGCTTCTTCCCCCACCCTGGAGACTCCTTTCTTCCTTTTTTCCTCCCCCACCCAAGCCCTGAATACAGGAAGAGAGATCACCAGCTGCCTGATGAAGAAAACAACTACCAAAGAGTGTGCATCATTCAGATGGCTTGGATGATTCAGCTTTTCCATGTGAACTTTAAGTGGCACAAATAGTGCTTTGTGCATTTCTGAATCAAGAGTGTATTTAATAGTCCAAGAACATAACACAATTTCTACTTGAAGAAAAACTTTTCATCTTAAACACAGCAGCTTATCTGATACCTTACAATGGCTCCAGTTCTCAAACCAAGCAATAATTACTTCTGCCTGTGCTTATGGTATTGCAGCATCTTCAGCCTTTAAAAATACATTTGCTATTGTTCTCAAAAGTTGAACTGAGTAGGACAGTGAAAAGAGGATCTAGTGACAAGCTTATAATTTTGAAAGCTACTTGATGTGATGTGCATTGGTTTTAGAGGGGGAGGGCTGGGAAGGAACAGAAAACCCAGGTGTAGCAAGCAATCTGCTCTCCCAAAATACAACAGCACAATAACACAGCAGCAGCTTGATCATAAGCATCCCACAGTTACCTTTCATTGTCAAGAAACTTGTAGGAGAATAATATTAAAAGTTTCCAGACAGTAGGCTGAGATATGAAACCCCACAAAAACACAAAGCACATACACATTTACTTTGTGTATTTTTTGTTTAGCACTGCTCATATAAAGAATTAGTGCCTGGTTTTACTTCTCTAGTTTCTTTGGCCTTTATTAATTTGTTCAAATGTTCATTTGAATCTTCTTCATCAACAAGATCCTATTTTCATTTCACCCCTTCAATCATAAATCAGAAACAGCTCTAATCAACTAATCAGATTTGACACAAAAAGTAGAAGGAACCTAGTACTCAGACCTAGTGCTGAGGACAGAACATTTTGCCTGACAAACCCTGTTTACTTAGTGGGAGAATTTCTTATTTATGCTCAAGTACAAAAGCAGCACAAGCAAGTAGAGCACAACACTGCCTTCTGCAGGCACCCAAGTGTGACAATGCCAAAAACTTTCAGCAAGGGCACCTTGAGCAAAGGGAGGAGGTAGCAACAGACTGAGCAGACTAGTCATCACTGAAGACCTAGAGAAAAACAACAGAAATGTTGCTTGGCCTGTGCTTTCAACAATGGAAACGAGCCTTTGGGGTCATGTAGTGTGCCTCCCTCCACTAGGGAAGCACCTGGAATTTTTTCTTGGGGGTGCAAATGAGGCAAGAATACTGGAGAGCAACCAGAGCACAATGTTTTGGCAGCATCTATTCTCCCACTAATGGCTTTTGTATGTTTTTTTGATTTTATAATTGACTTTCACTTCATTTTAAAATGTAGGCATATTATGCACATCCAACCCAAAAAGCTTGTATCAAACTAGGCAGGGTGATGCAATTCTCACAGCTCCTGCCCTGAGACAACACTGCCAGAGCCAGCCTCACTAGCCAAGATGTCTCTCTTCACAGCCAGCTACATGAACAGCAAATACTGTGTGAGACCAGACGGTGTCCAAAATCTTCTGCATTTTAAAAACACACCAAATGCTTCATTGCAAACTAGATGAAAAATCCACATTTGCAAGAATGACCTGTGGGAGAAATCATATGCTTTGGTAACTGTGCTGTGATTCAGGTTTTTTGAACTTCAGACTTCTGGTGATGTTTGTTTTCACTCCTTGACATTTCTTGATAGGGAGAAAGATAGCAGGAGTACTTCTCATCACAGCTTCCCATCACACCTCCCCCTCGCTTTGGTCAACCACTGGGAAAATGACTCATGGTGCTGAAACCTGAGCCTCTTCCACATCCCTCTCAAAGCCTTGTTTCCCACACAGACCACATCCATTCCACGCACAGCAGCCAGCCACGGTCAGTACAGGTCAAATGCATTTCTTGTGACCAGACTGACCCATGTGTGAGCACCCTGGGGGATCTGAGGCCTGACTGCCTCTCCCAGGCAGCCCCAGCTCTCTTGTCCCCTTGCTCTAATAAAGGCTCTCTGTGCAGCCCTAGGTGGAACATGCCTGTGCCATGCAGGGAGCTCATATGCTGCCAAACCTTTTGGGTTCTTAGATAATGGCATTTTACCTCTGTGAGACACATCATGTCACTCCTCACTGTTCCCACACTTCCACAGGAAAACCAACTTTGCAAATCATGTACCTTGTCCCAGTAGCCTTTTATTTGGAGGCCTGTCACTCCTATCCTGAGCATGAGAGAGGGAAGAGAGGGGCTGCTGCTTTAGATGATGAGCTTCCCCTTGCCTTCTTGTCCCTCCACCCCACACAGCCACTGCACAGACAGCAGGAGAGGGCAGGCAGGGAAGGGCAGGACGTCCACCCCCATCTCTCCAATGCAGACTATGAATCCAGTGTTACAAAACTCAGAAAGAGGAGGAAAAAAACAGACCTTTCTTCCTATCCAGTGATAAGAAGCTGATGTGTCTGGACCTAAAGGACCAAGGACTGCTTGGGGTGGTCTAAGTAACTTCAAAGCAGAGTCTAAGCCAACAGCTTATTAAGCAGAGAGGAATTCTTACACGAATCAAGAACTTGGAAATGTTGTCTTGTGGGCAGCACAATTCTTGCTGGAAGGCTCTGATCAAAACTATCTCGGACATCAAAACAAACAGATTATGCTATAAATATTAAAAGACTTTATAGCTGTCTGTTTGTGAAATAAATTCTTGGAAAGTCCCTTATCCTTAATGTAGGGAGGAAAAGGTCAGGGAGGAAAGACATAGGAAAAGGGAAATAATTAATTTAGGACATAATTTATTTTGCTCTCATCCTACTCACTTATAGGAACTCATACCAACTTCCCCCCAGACACCAGTGGTCAAGAAATATGCCAGACAACATTAAGACTTCTGCATGTTCAATGGACATTCAGTAAAGGGGGAGAGTTTCAGCTAAAACTGTGTTACACCCAAGAAAGCCTTTGGTCACATTCTGTGGAGACACATTTACACACCACAGTTGTGCTGCAAGAATCTACAATACCCGAACTACAGCCCTCACTTTCTACTATCACGTAATAAAATCAAACAAATAACCCAAGATGCAGCTGCTAAAGTTTGGCTGACCTTTTACCTGGATGAAAATCCTTAGTTTCATTATTATTCATGAAGTCGTTATTCCCAAGGCAGAAAATGTGGGTTTTTTTCCTTGTGTTTTACTAATGGAGTTTTGTTTGGTTGGGGCTCTTTTACAGTTTACAGATTAAGATTTTATGGCTCATTTGTGACTACTTGGCATTATGAACATTTTCACTGGAAATATGTGAGGATTTTATTAGAAACATTGGTACTGAAAACAGCTAATGGGGGATGAAAGAGGAAAACACATTAATAAGTAGCATTGAGATGCAAGCAGTTACTTGGGGAAAAAAACACAAAGCATTAAATACACTGTCAAAACAATGAATCTCAGTTTAGACTGTGGCATATTGTATGCCTCTCAGTAAATATTGCCCAAACAAAAAAGCCTCTAAGTAAAGGTCAGAAGGGCCTGAGGCTCCTCACCTGCAAAGGCACTCCCAGAGCACATCTGAACATGTGGTGGCTGAGCACCATCAGTCAGCACATCCCAGTGATCCATCAGAATCTGGTCAGGTTTGCCCCACAGGTACATTTCAACACTTCCTACTCCTGCTACACTTACCCAGGAGGGTGTGGGGTGTCAGAAACAACCAACCAAAAAAGCCAGAGCAACTACCCCTCTCAGCTGAAGATGGCACAGTAAACTGGACTTCTTGTGCTCTGATTCCCTGGCTGCTGTCTGGGATGGAGACCATTCACCCTCACCAGAGAACAAACAGCAACTACAATCATAAATTGACCCAAGGATTTCCCCTATAACTCAGCACTCTATGGCACTTACTTTATGCCTAATTACTCCATCTCCATACTCTCTTAATCAATCACATAATTGTCTAAGATATCTTTACTGTCTCCCAAAAAATATATATTGGATAACTCCATAACCACTTAAAGGAGAAAGTCAGTGGCTTACATCATCCTGAATAACTGAGGTGACCACACAGGGAGGTTTAAAAAGAAAATGTTTACATCTATTCTATGTCATGCTAAAATAAACACATTTCTCCCACTGGCAGGAACTGGAGGACACCCAAAGGTCTGGGGTTTTTTCCTCCACTGAGTTTGTAATCCTTATTTTTTCTTCTACTCGCAAAGAATGCAACAGACAACTCCTGCCTGTTTAATATCTAGTATGTATTTAAAAAAAAATCCCAACTCTAAGTGATGTTGGAGCAGTAATAGTTTTTAAATTTGACTTTCCACTTCTGGACAAAGTCCAGAATAACCCAAACTAACTAAGCTTTCAGACCACTGCATGAGGCCCCGTGGGAATGACACAATCTTACCAGCAGTTGCTATCATAAAGGAAGACAAAACTGATGGTTAGGGACTTGCATTGTGCAGGCAACAGGATGAAGAGAGGTTACTATTTTAAACCAATGCAGCAGAATTTGGTGAAATTACACACTGACAGCAGCTCTTGACTGCTTTTGTCAATATATCTTACAGCTCAAGTGTCGTGTGTGGAACTATATATAACTGCTTTGAAAGAGTGCCCTTGTTTCATATTCCAGCACCATACAAATGTAGTGATAGAAACAAATGTGCATGCTGCAGTTGTGTGGGGTGCTTTCTTTGCAGAGTTGCTGCCACTCAGCTGCAGCAGCATTTGACACAACACAGACCCATACATTTAGCTTAGCCTGACCCCTCTGTTTTCATTCTCCAAACTGAGGTTTTTTGGAGTGCTCTTTCTACATTTTAAGTGAATCACAGAATATGTTGAGTTAAGTCAGTGGCTTCCTCAAGAGCTCTTGTCCATTACAAAAACCTTACAGCCTGCAAGGAGACAAAAACATTCCTATGTGACAGCCACAAAGAGCACGTGCTCCATAACCACAGCATGTGCAAAGTAAAGCTCAGGCTGCAGCACAGAAAGAAGCCACAGTTGTACAGCAGGACAAAGGACACAACACCTCTTTCCAATTGCCCACGAGCATTTCTATCTCACACTTTTCAGATAGTGCACTAGGATGTATGGTGGAAATTGGGGGGATGAATATTTTAGTGCAGAAAACTCAAGCAGAAGCCAACATTCACACTCCTCTGAGCTACCAATCCTGCTGGCAAAGGCATTTCTGAGAATGCATGAGCACAAAAGCCTTTCTGCACAGATCATGTGTAAGATATTCCAAAAATTGAATGATGAATGCACGAAAGCTCCTAGGGAAGTAAAACTTGCAAAAAAAAAAAAAAAAGGTTTGAGCTGAATTCATCAAGATCTAAGTTAAAGCCTGATGTGGGGTTTAACTTGGTCTATTCAGCATGTGATTGCAGATCTAGAGCAATTTGTGGAGACTGCCTGGTGGCAGTGTAATAAAACAGGATGCAAGATTTGGACTAAAGAAACATTTATGCAAGAAGAAAATTGTTTAGCTCTCCAACTCTAAAGCCTCTAAAGTCTTTACCATCTGTTTCCTGGTTTGGTTAAGTTTTGGATTTTTACTCTCTCTCCTTTCTGTGCAATTAGCACCACGACTATGGAGCCCGTTGCTTGTAAAACAAGCCCTGCTTATGAGGAAGGAAAAGCTATTGGCTCATTGATTAGCACAAAATTAGTATAATACCCTCAGTACTGTGTTCACCTCTACTGGTCATCCAGAATTCAAACACTGATTAATTTAATTGTCCATGAATACTAGAGGAAACATATGGCTTGGAGAATTTTCCTGCACTCTGTCTCTAAAAGTCATTAGTGTTCATTTTTATGTCCTATTTCCTCTCACACATTACCATCCAAAAAAGGACTTCTTTTTTTTGCAATGGTTATGTAAGAGAAATCAAAGGTATTGGCTTTCATGCATTCTACAGACTTCAACAGAAGCCTGCTCAATATTCCAAAAGTGCACGATCCACACTATACATATATGCAGTACTAACAGTACTAAATATTATTTTCCGTTTTTGTGGGATTTATGATCTTTTCCAATTAACTGCATTGTTTTTCCACCATGAGAGTGTTTTCAGAGTATTGTGGAGTACTGTACCATGGCAGGACATCTGGAAATTACACGGTACTCATTAGGGAAGTCAGCCTAGGTACAGTTTTTGAGTAGATAGATGCACGTACCTTCAACATCAAGAGATGAGCCAAGTTTCTGTATAATAGCAGAATTTTTTGCAGGTTAGGCCAGAAGGATATCAGCTGTGATTTATTCCTAGATCTCTGGGAGTTTTTTTTACCCCTAAACTGTAGAGCATCCTCTATATTCACTACACACAATAAGAGGTTAAGTATAATGGCCGCCATTCATTGCTTAAGTACAGAAAACACAACACTGAAGATGAGCAGAACTTCCATTTTAAAAGTCTTGTTTGGACAACACCTTTGAACAGTTCAGCCTTTTTGAGGCTGGACTACACTACACCACAGAGGCCACAACATGGCAGCTTCAGCCCTTTTCTCGGAGGCAGGAGCAAACTGTGTCAGGGTTTGGCTGCACAGCAGCAGTTCATGTCTAGCACAGACTGCCATCTCGGGCAGTGGAGGAGAGTGGCACAAGACAGACATGTCTGCTTTGATCAGAAAGGGCGAAACCAGCCTCTCCAGTCATTAGTGAGTCACAATCAAGCACAATTAATTGAGAAGTGAACGAAACACTCTTCGTGGGGCTGTACTACAATTTCATCAGCTCGTTGCAGCAGAATGGTGACATCTTCACAGACAGAATTACAGTGTGTTTTTAACATCCTGTTATCACATGTGATCCCTGCCCCAGTCCTGAGTGCAAACTAGCATTTAACTCCCTTCCTTCCCCACCAATCATTAAATACAAATCCTTCTTTTCAGCAAGACCGAAGGAGTAGAGGCTATCAGCAATGTATCATCTACAAAAATAGTTAGTCTTATAATTAGAAGGTAATACAAAATCTTATTTTCTTTTCATTTGACTAAGCTGTGCCCAATACTTCCATACAGGAAGGTACAAACTCTATCTGTTTAAATGTAAAAACATATACAACTATATTTGACATTTAAATAACTTTAAACACAACTGTTTGCATACTAACAATCTTATGTACATTCCTTCTTAAACAATACCTCTTTAATATCCTCCTCTTTTGTTAAACAAGTTTTATTTTCCTCCCAAAATACCCAAGGCTACTTTAAAATTCTGGAGGGGTAAAAATTAGAGCTATATAGAAAATAGCAAGATGTCTTACAATTGTAGTGTATGATAGCACATATTTTTCATAAAAACAACATATCATTCAAAAACTGAACCACTGTAAAAGTTCTCATAAGTCCAACAGGACTGTCTTTCAAGGTTACTTTGGTTAACAGCAAGTCATTCTTAAAAAATTAAGGAAAAAAATATATATTCTTTCACCACCTCTACAGATGCATTTCCTTGGCTTGTTGTAGCAATCCATATACCTTTACAGATGAGCATTGCAGTTGTTCAGTGCTCCTTATTTGTACTGTGATTTCAAATAAAATAGATTATATATATATAAGGTTGGATTGATTTATAATTAAATTAGTCCAACTTCCTAAAATCTCTGAATAAGAGAACTCTCTTCCGAAGACTTCATAGGAACTCTGGATATCAGAGAAAGAGTGGTAACACCACTAATTCTTCCTTGCAAGGTTGATCTCATGCAGTACTTGAAACAGCATCACCAAGTTGCATGAAACTGCTGTTTCCCTGCTTATTTTCCCAGTCAGGAGAGTGACAGCTTCTGTGAGCTCTTCATACTCTGACACCCTGCCAGTTGCACCAGCCTCTGAGCATTCAGACAACTAAAGTGCCACTGGACTTCACAGTAATGCAATGTTTTCCTCTGAGCCATTACACATTTCCCAGGTCACTTGTGGCCTCTACCTCACTGAAATTTTACTCATTTCCATGGAAATAAATGCCTTCAGTTTTTGGCCAGGAAGAGGAACTTGATCTGTCCTCCCTCCTTGCACTATGAAACCCTCTGATCCATGAAAAATGACAAGCAAAAAGGCTAAAGTGTGAGATTCTCCAGGAACAGAATACTGCATTAGTCAGTGTGTGTCAGTTAGGCTGCAGAGTAGGGAAGTGTGACCGACGAGCAAAGGCACTTGGTGACAGCGCTGGGGACAAGTCAGTGAGTCAACAGCTTCAGTCTGGTGAACCAATTGACCAGCAGCGAGGGCTCTGCCGAGGAGGATTTCGTGGATGATGTGACCGATGATTTTTTAGCACCTTCCTCTTGGAAAGGAATTGTTGCACTGTTGTGGAGGTCTGTGTTCATAAAGCACCTGCTGCCCCGAATATAATCCGTTCCCCTCACTAACTGCTTGTCAGACACCGGCCTGGAGAGCGGGTGCTGCGTGCAGGGGCTTTCCTCAATGATGGGGGGTATCCTTTCATTGCTGAAGTACCTGCAGAGGACATCTTCACCTGTACAAACAGGAGGGGGAAAACCAATTATTGCTGACTTCCAAACCCTCCATTAACATTTTCTATTTTTATAAAAGTATTCTGGTTACACTTCAAATACCTAGATCTGGGGTTTTGTTCATAAAACACCTGGACATAAGCAGCTATCAATAGATTCACAGCTTTTTGCATCTTTAATGTTTTTTAAGTGACACAATAATGAAATAAATCTATACACAGAGGAGACAGATACCATTTGACTGTTATATTCCAGATTCACACACACCAAAAATGATGATACAGACTACTTTCACCAAATCATTATCATAGGTGATATTTAACAATCTTCTTCTAATGTGTTATTCAAAATGCTGAAGAGACCAGAGTTGAATCCATAAACTTCTCAGTATAGCTCATGGGTAACTTAAAAGCTACTAACATTACTTTGGACAAGAGAAATTAATTTTGCAGGTGAAGATATAAGCACTTCCCTCCCTGATTTTGACTAGTGATTCATGATGCTTTCTCTGTTTTAACTCTTCCCCAGACACCTGACCAAGGCAGCTGCTGCTAAAGAATTCCTGCTAGACTAGGCAGGCCTTTGGTTCTGATCCAACACAGCTTAAGCTTAAGCCTGCAGCACTTAAGTACATTTCAAGCATTAAAAAAAGGCAACACAAAACCAAAGGCAAAACCAACCAAAACACCACACACAAAAACCAGCCCTGCCACCTGGTGATCGCTCTGTTAGTATCCCTCCAGGCTGATGCTTCTTGTTATCAACTTCTACTTTTACATAAAAATAATAGAATCCAGCTTTGATTTTACCTACAATTAGACATTAGCTTTCATAACTGATTCCAAGAATAAACTAGTCATCCTTATTTCCCACTCTAACAGGACTCAAATAGTCTTTCAAATGCAGAAGAAGGTGGGAAGAGGACAGTGTGGGAAGTAAAAAAAGCCATCCAACTGAACACAAAATGTTATGAGCTTCTGTCTCTCTCCCATTCAGTGATGCCTGCAGAATATGTTCCTTTCTAATAGCAGTAGCAGTAAAAAGCAGCTCCTAAAAGGCCCTACATTTTCCATTTTGTGAACAAGCTTGCTTCTTCAATAGCCTCCACAGTGAGCTAAACAAAAAGACTTAGCACAAAAGTAGTTTCATGATCAGTATTAAATACAGTAGAAAGCGAAGGGGCTGTGTGCAAGAGCAAAATGTGCTATAAAATCACAAGTACAGATCTGCCCTAGTCATTTCAGCTAACTTTTAATGCTCACTACAACTCTGAGGCAGAAGATTTGAGTCCCATCACTGAATAGCCTCAGAAATTTCACTTACCATCTGGCATTTCTGCTAAACCCAATAATTGTCACCTTGCGTCAGTTCAGCAATATGCAAACCACAATCCTCCATTCCTAGTTTAAGCACTTTCATGTGGTTCACCCCAAGGAAATTTTGGAGAGGAAGAGAATGAGGGATAAAACCTAAAACCTTGCCTTTTCTCCCTGATCCTCGTGGCCTAGAGAAGGGCTCTGCAACTCCTATCCAGCTTCCATCAGCAGGCATTGACAAAGGACGAGGTTTTCCTAGAGACAACATAGAAGGTTACGAGGAGTTACATAAAGTTGAGGAAACCAATATTTAAATTTTTGCTTTCCCAGTTAAACAAAGAAGAGATAAGCAATAAGGAGTTCAAATTGTAGGAAAAAAGAATATCTGAAGATAATTCCACCGGTGACATAAGAAATCAGTGTGCTGAGATTAAACAGCTGCCCTCTTGCTCATTTAGAGCAGGAGTGGACATAATGTTATAAGCAAAATACATGTGAAAATGGTGCTCTGTAGCAGCAGACCCCAGCTGAATGACATTCATTAGAGAAATAACAGTGTTTTAAGAGACATTATTTCAGGTACAGAATTTCAGATTCACAATTTGTACAAATGGCCTTAATATCAATCAAGCCCAACATGCAGTTTTCTAAGACAAATCATTTCAGACTGATCAAAGCCCTTATCACAACAGCGATAACAAGAGAGGAATGAACTCACCGTAGGACTGTGTTTTTTCTCTCATTTTGGCTGGCAGGACATTTACTTCCATGGGATACCCAGGCAGCTGATCAGAATCAGCAATAGTGAACCTCCGCCTCCGGCTCTCCTGATCCAGAAAGGAATTGGGAGACTCGGCGCCCTTGGACCCAGGCAGGGGCTGACTGCGTTTGCTGCCTCCTCCATACAAAAAGCTCCCCTTTTCATCTCTGAAAGGACAGGTCACTGCATTAGTGCCCTGAAAGAGTTTAAAGCTACAGACATGAATAGGTCTGAAAGATGCTTCTAGCAGCAAGTCATGCTCGTGACAACTGGCATTGTGCTGCAAACAAGCTGTAAGAAACCCTCAAGAAAGTCAGGTGATAGAAGACTTCATTATATTTAACAAGGAGAAAAGAAAGCTACCCTCCTCATGCTAAATCACTCTTAATGAGCCAGTAATTTAACACACTGAGAAATTTAGAGGCTCCATTCCTCCAAAATCCAAAACATTTTGATAAATGAGACCTTACTGTCCTGAGGGCATCAAAGCCCCTGATTTGCTGCCTGGTCAAATACATAGCTTTGACCCAGGAGTGCTACATAAATTTATCCATCTCTGTATGTGTAATTACCTCCATCTAAGGGTCTCTGCCTTTCAGTCATTATAGGAGTCCAATACCTGTCACTGAATATTTGCCACCTTCTCTCTCCCTCCTTGAGGGTTTCAGTAACAGATTCACAGTGTGTGTATATGTGTGTATATATATATACATATATGATTTTGATTAAATTCTGCAAGTACTTTTGGAAGAGAAGCTACCCTTTAAGTTAAGATTTGCCTGGAGGATTTTTCCCTTTCTAGATGCTACAATCTTATTGCTTGAAGCAACCATTAGCCAAGTCAGGCATGAAAACACATAGCTGACTGCCTAAGCACACATACACCCCAGTGTTCATAGCAGTTCCTGGACAGCACATCCCACTTGTCCAGCTCTCCAGCAAGAACAATGCTACAAGCTCAGCGAACAGGAAGGAGCAATTTATGGAGATGCAGAGACCAAAAATTGCACTCAAGTGTTCCACCAGAAATGTATATATGTGGAGAGCTCTGCTACACCACCATGTGGAGACTGTGCCATGGGCAGGGAAACCAAACACTGCTCTCTGACTCCCAGTGTGGAACAGAGGAGATCTGTGCCAGGAAGGGAAGAGAACAGGATGTTGAGGGGGAGAAAAAAGCAACCATCATACAAATGCACCATAATTTCAAGAGAAAAGCAAAACATGCAGAGGTCAAAATAAATGACCAAACAGAAGGCAAAAGAATTGCCCTTTCTCCTCTTCCTGCCTGTCATAGCTTCCCACATTTGATTTCTTTAAAAGTCAAGACGCCGTTCCCTTTCCATCCATCATCCAGGATGAATCTTAAATCTCATATTGTGATTTCTGTCCTTTTCAACAGGGATTCAGGTCTAAAGGCATTCAAAGCTTGATATAATTTTGTGTCTCTTTAGGAAAGATAAACAAATTGAGCACATGGACATAATTCACCAATGTGCTTGAGATATTTAATGATTTGAAGAAACAACTAAGGCATTCATCTGCTAAATCTACATGCTTGTTATTCTGCCAAAAGATTTAAAGATTTGAGGGTATTTTAATAAGAACTGAGCATGTGTAACCATAAAAGCAAGGCAAAAGCAGGTCAAGGTGGGTCCAACTTCAGTAAAGAGACTCTACCTAAGCAAGCCCCTGCCCCAGTCCTGTCCCAAAAACTGCAGTAATACCACCTCTGTCTCTCTATCAGCCCTTACATGGCAGGAGGCAAGTGCCCTCCCACAAGGCCTTCAGCAAAAGGTGACAGTTTCTGTGCTGGGCTACCTACATGTACCCTAAAATGTCAGGGAAGGCCAGGAAGCACACCAGCCTTTCACATCTTGCCTGGAAACGCTTTTTTCCATCACATTCCCAGATCAGCTGGCAGGGTTCTGGCATAAGTCAACATGGACTTGAGAAGAAACAACAGTCAGCCTTACCATATACACTGCTCTTCCTCCCACTGCATATACAGGTCTGCATTTTTATAGCTTACACCACAGGATAAAAAAATAAGAGTTGATGTATTGCCTCTCCCTTCCCTTCAGTGGGAACATATTTGTTTTAAACAACTTGCAAGTTTAAAAATTTAACGTGATAGGTGTCATTTAACGTGACATTCTTTTCCATCCTAACTCCCACAACAGTTACTCAACTTGCTAAAAAAGAAAAAATCCAACAGTGAAAAATGTTAGGGGCCAAAAATTACTTCTTGCTGTGTGTAGTTGGATTTAAACAGAGTCAGAAACATAACTCCACAACAAAACCAGAGGTGACATTGGTGTCATGTTCTGGGAACAACTCTGCTCTCTGTGGCACACAATCTTCCAGTAATAAAATCTATTACAATCCTAGTAGTATACACATTTAAGCATAAGTTCAAGCAATCCAACTCATTTAGGCAGCTAGAAGAAAGTTTGAGATCTGCAGCTTCCTCAAGCTAATCTGCACAGAGCTCTAACAGCAAGCCAGCTCAGAAACAAGTGCAGTGAAGGAGGTTTGTGTGAGTGGTGCAGGTTTGTTTGCATACCGAGGAGAATACGGAACAGCTGGTGGAGGGGGTATGTACAGATCCAAAATGGCTGGCTTCTCCTTCTTCAGTGAGGTATCCACGGTGCTTTCTGGCGACTGAGTTGAAGCTGGTGAGGGACTGGTCTGAAATGTTAAACAGCTATCAAACATCTGAACACTCATATATCATTAACAAAAAGATAACTTAATAATCAATAGCACCATTTTCATCCCCTAGTGAACTACTATCTCTGTGATATATGGACATTTCAAAAACTCTTAGAGTTCACATTTTCCTCCACCCCCAGTCTTGGCTAGCTTTACAGGCCCTCCCACAGAAGTCCTATCATGGGTAATGCATTGCTCAAGCATATTTTGCTCTTTCCAGTTCTATTTTTCGGGTAAATTCCACAGACAAAAAAAGCAACTGAGACAAAACCCCCTCTTCTATATTTAGATGTGTTAAAAGAAAGCAATTTGTTTAATACAGATATGATTAGCAAGCCTTGTGAAGCTGCATTATGCTACCTTTATTCCATACACTCCAATGCCTGGAGCTCAGACAGGAATATAGTGAAGTTCACCATAGACTGAATCAATGGATATAAGGACCAGGGAAGCAAATTAAAAATACATTTGGCATTGCTCATCTTTGCACCTCACTTCTATAAATTCTCAGCACTTTTCTAGGTTCCTGTCTGCCTATAGGAGAGAAAAGGTTTCAAAGACCTTTCTTCTCCAATCATTCCCTCCCCTAAGGAAGCACTGCTGGGCACAGCCTATAAGCCAGCCCACCTCAGCTCTTCACACTGAAGCACATGTCAGGCACAATGCCACAAAAACAGGACACATGCACTGGAGAAAGGAAGGATGAACAAGTAGTCACGCATACATCTACCCAATTTGAAAGAAATCTGCCTTCATGGATATTTGTGATAGCCACCAGCATTTCACAGGTTTAAATTACCCCCATGGCTGTAGGGAGACCTGTATCACAACAGGAGGAGGAAGGGGAACTTTCCCTAGTTTTATTAATTTCAGATAATTAGTTTAAATTCAGTTAGGTTGGTCACTCCTGCAAGCATTAAGCCGCAAGTTTCCTGATGCAACACTCCATTCCTCAACATGGTTATTTAAGAATTATTAACATCACTTTCTCTGCCTGCTCAGTACCCAATCTGTGAATTGCCCAACAACCAAATCTTATTTAAACAAGCAGTTTAAATAATTTTTTGAAAAGACCACTCTTTCTCCCCCTTCACTAGCCTAAAAAGAGGAGAAATATATGGAATAGTCTTAAGCTATTTCAGCAAAAACATATTACTGTGATAAACAGAGAAAGCATTTATTTATTGCTCCACGCTGATGAATTCCATACATATCAGCAGTTTCGCCTCAGATAAGTTCTCCCAGCGGCACACAGACTGATTCAAATATTCAGCACACCTAGTCCCTTTGTGTACCAAGAGCGCATTATCTGCTAGCAAGGAAATAGGGAAAAAAAAACCACCCAAAAAAACCAAACCACATTTTCTTTTTTGTTCCATAGGAGGACAGCCATTTCACCTAACCTGCCTTGACATATACCCAAGCATTTTGGGGCATTTCTAAGATTTTTCTTTTTTTTTCACAGCTGCTACCAAGGCATTGCCATCCTGAGATGAGAGTGGAGCTGGCAGGCTCTCACCTGCACCAAGGGTGGTTTCCAGCGCAGGTTCTTCAGAGGAGCAGGAGTGAAATGAAAAGAGCCAGTAGGACGTTTCTTAAGCAGCAGCCTAACTCCAGCAGGATTCTCTCGCAACTTTGCCACCAGATTTTTTAGTTGCCATCCAACCTGGAAGAGAAGAAAGACATCTTTTATTCAGCATTTCTTTTCTGAAAACAAATAAACAAGAAAAACCTAAACCTCCCAAGTTAGACAGCTTGTTTTGGCATGAACCTAGAAGAAATAAGGGATTCCAAAAAAGCCATCTTAAGAATGAAAAAAAAAAAAAATGGAAAGTTCTTTTTTTGCAAGGTTTTTCATTTTCTTTCCAAGTTCTCTAATTAAGATGTAAACTAAATACTAAGATATCAAGCAGTGCTCTTTATACCCAAGTTTCAGTCCTAGACACATGGATATGCTCAAATTGACTAACACAGGGATTCACAGTGAACTATTTTGTCATGTTTCTTTCTCACATTGAAAGGCATTGCCTAATGTGCTAAGCAAAAATGCAATCATTATATCCAGGTTCCCAGGAGCAAATGACCGGACAATCATTTGCAAATTATTGGGGTGCATTTTAAGCTCTTTATCTGCATTTCAGTGGATTGTAACGAGACATTTTAAACAGGTCTTAAATGAAACATGAATTATTTTAATATTGTGCATAAAGCATTTTAACATGAAATACTGTATATTTATCAAAATATTGCAAATAATAAAATTTATATTGAAAATAAAATGCTAAAAAGCCTCAAACATCAGAACTGCCTCCTGACCCCATCCATTCAGCCCCTGTGGTGCACAGCAAGCATAAGGGGAGTTACTCACCACAGTTTGCCTATTAACCTGGATCACTTCATCACCAGCATGAATCTTCTGGGAGCGATCAGCAGGGGACTGCAAAGAGGAAAACAAGAGTCATGTGCTGGATCAGGTTTCCCTCTGTCCCAAAACAACCCCCACCAATCTAAGTCAAAGGCTGCATCAGCAATGATTTTTTGCTATATGTAATTTTCACCTCTGCTGATGACTTGAGAAATGTACATTAATGAAATGAATTATTTATTTTAATGCTGGGGGAACTAAACAGAAAGAGAGAAGGCACAGCCCCTATCTGTTAAAGACCAAATTGCATTTAAGTCATGGGATAGTCTCCACTCTCCTTTTCCCTCCAGTTTACACTATAGTTTTAGACAGTAATGGAAGAGGCAGGAGGAGGATTTCTGCCCTAACACAACAACCATCTTAAAAAATTTTTAAACAAATGTGTATTTATGTTAAAAAATACTTCAAGACTTTGAATGTACAGAACAAAGGATCAAAACTCTTCCAATCCACAAGATAGATCCTTTACACTTACTCTTTTTGTTTTACAATGTAAATAGAAGCTTCTGACTTTAATGTGAAACTGCCTGCCTGAATCACCCAAGTCAGCAGATAAAAATACTTGCACAGACAGGTATTTTTCAAATACCTATCTAATAATTATACACTTTAAAATACAATTTTCTTGGAACAAAACCTAAGCTCTGGGGAGCCGTTAGCAAGAAACAGATAAGTACGTCAATATTTAGATTTATCAACAGCTGGTGCAATGCACCAGCCTTTGCTGCACTGCAGTTATTAAAAGCACTCTCACTGCTGTAACACACCAACTCCTACCAGCCTTGACAACACCCAAAGCACACACACATGCTACCTTGGTACATGCTGCACCCTGGTCACAGGAGAGCAACTCCTCCCATTCCCTCCACCCCATGAGTAACCACCAGGCAGCAGGCCAGCTCTTCCTAGTGACTCCAGAACTAAGCACTGGGATTAAGGACTCCCTTCTCCACCTCATCACACCTTTAGACCTCATGTAACTTTGTTATGAGAAAGAACTGTGAGAATAAACAGTGCAACAAAGGAAGAAAACATGGGGAATTTGTGGGAGGCTTCAGCTATCATGAGTAACCCCATTTCTTCATTGTCTTCTTGCTTCCTCTGAGAGGAAATGCCTCTGTGGAAAGCTGCATATATAGGAGTCAACCAAGATCATGAAAAAATGCTGGGCCAGAGTCAAGTTTGTGAAAAACAAAGCTCCTTTCAAGCTGTCCTTTGGGTGACCAACAGCTCATCTGAGGGAGGGTGGGGGACCCTTGCACAGAGAACTCCTGCAGCAAGTGACAGGTCACAGCACTGGCATCACACCGTGAGAGCAAAGAGCAGAGTTTAGCTCTAGAACTCAACATGCAAAGTCTCACGTAGGATGACATAACTCAGGGATCCTCTTGGCTGACTCACACCAAATGGACTTCCCCAGTTCTTTCATTGTTCAATTCAGGGATGCAATTCCATTGCAATCCCATACACCAGCTCCTGGGGGTAGCTACTAAAATACCATTCCAAATCTAGCAAGAAAACAGAGCTAAGATCTAGCCTGGGTCATCTAAATGACACCACACCACCATAAAGCCATCAGTTGATCGTAGATCTCTCAGTCACTTGTCCAGTTCTGATGCTCCAAAGGAAGGAGTTTTCCCCAAGGAAGGATATTCCCCAAAGGAAGAGGCAGTGTTGATAACAAAAAGCAGACACTTAGGTCAACACAGAAAGCTACAGAAGGAATACAGACCCAAGACCTACATGCAGAAGCAGCCTGTCAGCAGTCAACATTACATTTTTTTGCATTTATCAGACGTTAAAATTGCTGCAGAAGTGGACATGGCCTCTATGGCAAATCCTATATAAAATTATGCCAGGACAATAGCATCAAAGCTATAGAAGCTTACACTCTGCAAGCACAGATTTCCACACTCTCCTGCCTGGTCCCTGGACCTGGCAGGGGAACAATTAGAACCACTGGTTCTTTCCTATTCACAACAAAAAAAAACATTGCTGCAAAAGCCAACTTTCTCTGCTCTTTTTTCTTTCAGTCACTGCTCCTGGACAGTAGTAGCCTGTTTGAAAACACCACAGCATCACCTGCCAGCCTCAGCTGTTGGCTAGAGGTCTACTCCTTCAAGGGCTGCCCAGAAGCCTTCAATAAACCCTCAGCTGCAAAGGACTCAGTGTACAAATAAAACAAGGAACCACCTGCAGTAAAAAACTAGTTGCCTCTCTTGCCAACTACTTCCTTCCAGCTGACCACTCTTAAAGTCTTACTTGTTCATAGTTGTTTTAGTCTGCAAGGTAATTTTGTCACGGGACAGCTCATTGATTTAATTACTCATTACTGAATTTAGCACACCACCACCTAAATGCTCCCATTAGGGGAGATTGCCTTTGCCAGTGGAGAGCAAATACACCCAAGACTTTGTTAAGCAAGATACCATAAGAGCTCAGAACAGCAGATACAGTAACTTATTAAAGCAATTGCTTTAGTGCCAAGCATTTGAACTAATTTGTGTACTTGCAGAAACTGGTTTAATCAGACTAACAGTGAAACATGTAGGCACAAAATATTTACAAACTGTGGAAAAACAAACAACGGATCACGCAGTACTTAAAGCAGCAATGCCATGCAAGTCATGTCTAAAACAACAAAAAGGAGTAAGTCAAACTAACTCAATCAAAGCTGCTGTCTGAGACAATCTACATTTGCTTCACTTACATTTTCTGTTGTTCCAGTAATTACATGCAATCCATCATAAGTTGATTTGATGTACATTCCCTAAAGAAAAAATGAAAAACAAGTTTAAAGGCAAAACAAACCACATAACTTATCTGATTAAAACACTGTTGGCAACAGACTTAAAGCATTATTAAAACCAGTTAACAATTTGTATATTCTCCCTTAAAAAGTGTGTAGTCTAATATTACAACACTCTGAACTTCTTCACAGATCACTTTTAGTGTAATTTATTACAATAATTATAATGATTTAAAACACCTAGTGTATGGAATAACACTCAGAAACACTCTCTGGTTGGTAACACCAAACACTGCTGATTTTTCTGCCTTGTCAGACTTTGGCCTTGAACAGAATTTTATTTCCTTACTACCCAGCCTGCTTTAGAGGATGACAGATTTTACTAGGTGCCCATCAGTTCTCTCCAAACAGAGCAGACTCACACAGGTGGGCTACAAGTACTGCTGACATGTTCTTTTACAGCTTCTCTGGGTAAGTCATACACAGACAGCAACATAACCACAATGCTTACATAAGCACTAAAGTTCCAGCAGAGTATTTGTGGCTCTGTATGCTAATGCTGAGTGTGAACACAAGGACAAACTGGATGAAGTGGGCGTTGACTATAAGAACATCAAATTAAAAGTCATGAACAGGCTGTTAACTAATAACTACACAGATTTCCCACAAGAGGTGACCAGCACATTGATGTCATCATTTATGAACAAATACATAACTACTTTTCCTTTCTACATCTGTTGTTAGAAACACTCACACTGAGAAGTACAGAATTGGATGTTAATCAGAAGCTGAAAGCAGCTTAGCTTTTAAAGTTACCACACTTACTTTAAAAATTAGATGATCTTTCTGACCTTTCCTCTCCAGCCAGTTCTCTGCCTGTTTTTCTGTCAGTATCCAATTGGGTGCACCCACCTCCTTGTTTCATTTTTAAGCCAAGCTAGACTGGCTCTGCTTCGATGTAGCTTGTGTATTAACAAAGAGGTTCCCATAATTTCAAAAATGCATGACTGATTCAGTCTAATCCACTGGTCTAGGTAAGACTGTGCAGCTTTCTCTAAAAATGCTCATCTCTCCTGCCTTCAGGGCTAGGAGTGAATACAAATGCACGTACCAATTTAAATTCCCTCCAACTCATTCTAACACATCTGTTCCCTAGACAGAAAATCCACCGAGATTTCAAATTAAGTTTCTCATAACCAGCACTCAGCTAAGCAGAATCCATTGAACCAATACAAGTCAGTAATGAGACACGGCCACCAAAGAGTTTAAAAATTCTCATTTTCCTGCTAACAGCAAAACTCCAAAATTCTCCCATTCATCTCTATCTTGCTATAAAAAACAAAAAAAGCATCTTTTAAAATACAAACAATTTCTCATTGCCTTCTCCCTCAGAAATTATATTTGGGATCAAGCCTGTTAATGTGCATATCTGTCCCTGGCAGCCACTCCAGCACACCACCTGACAACTGGCCTTTAGGGTTCCTTCTTGTGCCTCTTTCTTTTCACCACAGGTTACTATTGGATTTGAAATACCTTATTATAAAAACACACTTGCATTGGCTCACAGGGCTACCTATTAAATACTGGGAACATCAGGACACTCCAGCATTGCTTCTTACCAGGCCTTCCCCAGGTTTAATGTTGGTTAAATGGACCTCCTCCAGACAGGCACACTGGCTCATCAGTGGGTCTGTGGTTGATCGGATGGCTTTGTCACAAATGCCATTTAAAGTCTTGGCCTGCAATGAGAACACACAAAAAGCAGTCAGGAAAATTTTCTCCTGGCTTCTTCCTCTTTTAGTTTTCAAATACATAAATGAAATTAGTTCTAAAATCACTGAAATAGAAGATTCATTTGTACAGATCTATTCTACAGCATGTTTACATCCTTTCGGTAACACAGAAACAACCTGTTTCCATAAGTGCCACCTTACCATCACTAACAGATGCTGACACAGCCTCTGTCTGAAAAAATAAACACACAAAATATAACAAAAAATTGGGTTTGGGGTTTGTCTGCTCTAACCAAAACAGAACTCACTAAAATATTGAAGCATTTTGATGATTCCTTGTGGGAACAACTGACAGGTTTTCATGTTGTTCTGTATTTCTGCTATAAGAATACAACTAGACATGTGTCACAAAAAGGGATGTGCGGGCCATTGACATATTTGCACTAAACCTTACAGTATAAGGTAGGACCATCCAGCACTCAAGTGCTTCTGCAGTACTTCTCTCCATTGTGCCTCTGAACTGACCTCTTCTGGAATGCTTACACAGGCAAGGTTCATATTTCCTTTTGACCAAAACATAACTGATCCTAAGCCAACATTATAAATACAGGCCAATTCTGACCTTGGCGTGTGTGTCAGTAAAGTTGGAGGCAGAATGGCTTTGCCTTGCAGAACACGTAACTATCAGAATGTCTAATCAAACATGAAAAAAGAAGAAAAAACAGTCAAAGAATCTGTGCCCTCTCTACACTCACAAATTTCATTATGTCCCACTGTGTTTTCTGCTTTGATATCAACTGAAGCAAAGCTGACACTCCAAGTAGGTTACAAAATCTTAAAGGAGGGGGGAGAGAAGTTTTCTACACAGTACAGTAGTTAGCGATAAACAGTTTGGGAACCTGCAAGGTAAGTCACCTTTCACAAGGGGCTTGAATTCTTCAGCCAAAGCAGACACATGTAACTACAGAACAGAGGGGAACTGTGTCATAGGAAGACATAGCTTTGGATTACAATGGTCCCTGGAAACAATAGCTCCAACGTTTTCTGTTTCGTTTTACGTCAGATTTATAGAGCAGCAATAAAATAAATCAAAACAATGTTTAAGTGTGAATGCGAGGAACTGCTCAAACAAGGGAATTCCAAACAACAATACCTACTTCCAGTGTGGGTGTGCACAAATGGAAAAAGAAAGATACAGAGAACTCCCTTTTACATGGTCTCGTTATTTATGAACAAAATTATTTTTAGTTATTGTGCTACTAAATTCCTAAGCATCTATGAGCTACCGGAAGGCCTTATCAAAGAGCACAGCCTGGCTCATGTCAAAAGCAGGAAGCGATGATTAAGTGTTACAAAATATAAAAAGCATTCCATTACACTCCGCATTTGGTCACAAGGCTCCTTCAATCAGCCCTAAAAATTTCAGGCTCAAGTACAGAGCCAGAGCTTCATTTCTGTGGCAGGGCAGTTCTTTTACATGAAGAAGCATAATAAGGCAAGAGCTTCTGCTTATTAAGGCGCTAAATGCATTTCACAGGCATAATTGGTTTATTTAGCCTGTGACCATTTTACAGGACTAGTCCTCCCTTGAAAATTTGAGATTAAATCCTCTTGGAAATACAGCTGTGTATTGAAACTAAGGAATACTTGACTAGGCTCTCACTGCACACTCTCCATCTGCTGAAATTTCAGTGATTTCCTCTACAGGAAAGAACATTCACAAAACAAGTCATAGTAATGTTTACTTGCATGATATGCTTGTGCATTTGGGACTGAAAAGCTGCTGTCAATAGTCAGCATAGAAGCAACCAAAATGAATGTGAATGCAGACAGCTGAGTTTCAACAGAAACATAAACTTACCACAGTCTGGACTTTATCTTCCATGTCAGCCACAGTGCAATCCTAAAAATAAAACAAGAACAAAACCCCTACATTAACCAATAAACATGGAAACAAATCATCTCTGAAAACTCTACAAAACTTCCATTTTAACCTCAAATAGAAATAGAGTTATTCATGCTGCAGGGATTAGTCAGATTAGTTTCACCCAGTAGGGCTCAAAAGGACTATTAAGCAACTATTTTCTGGCCCTGGCAGAAAGCAATAATAAACCTTGAAAACTAAGAGAATGTGGGATTCAATTACAGCAGCTGACTTTTCCAGAAAAGCAGAACCTTGCACAATTAAATCAGATTCTCAGAAGGCCAGGCAGAGGTGCTTGCCTTACACTGATAAACCCCAACTCAGGTACTCCTCTGTCCCAGACACCAAAATGGATCTAAAGCATTCTGTTCAAAATAGAAGGGAAAGTGATTTTCTAAAAAATATGCTGTCAGTGACATTCCTGAAGGGCAGAATGCACACAAGGCATTATTTACATAGTCCAGGTATAAAAGCCTTTGACCTGAAACAAGTTCATGTAAAAATCTACAGAAGCCATCACTGTTTTCTGCAAGAAGTGCTGAACTGAAGAATATTATTCTCAGATTCAAAACTTAAAACAGCAAGTAAATAATAGACCAAGATTTACAATATCTACAAGGAGAAAACCCTCAAGCATTTTAATAGCCTGAAGGAGGAGTCATGTTGGAGAAGTTTGAGGAGGACTTTCCCCTGCTTTTCTCTGCTAAATACATCTGCACAAATCAATAGCAAATGCCATCATGCAGCCAAAAATGCTCAATATTGAAAAGTCCTTCTGTTCCCTCTGATTTCTGTTTATCCTGTTTATTATTTCAGCCCTAAAGTTCGACATGGAACTTTAAGTGGAGTAAAATCCTATCCTTGAATCTATATAGCTATCATCAAAGGTAATTAGAATCTTCTTGCATTCCTGCCATGCTTTATTACGATTTGCTTTTATGCATCATTTATGATTATGCAGAGCAGCATGGGTTCCACAAGAGCCACTCTGGCCTCTTCACCATTAGAACTGACCACCTGTTTCTGTAGTCTATGCCTTAATAAGAAATACTTTTAAAGTCTAAAAATCCTCCTAAAGAGTTTTCCACTGTATCTCTTTTCCACATCAGGAGACTCCTTAAGACTATTCTAGCACATGTGTCCTGTCCCAGGACAAAACCATGCTGGTTGGTTCTTCCCCCATTAATGCTTTTCTCATATGCACCAAGTCCATCTTTTATGATGGCTCATATCAAATTGGCAGAGAAGTAGTCTGACATTTTTTAAAAGATGCTGTTCACAGCTTTGATTCTCCTGCTATCAAGGGCTGACCTAAGAGAAAGATTAGACACACTTTTTAGCAGCTCTATTCATACATTCAGCAATCTCCTTATCTCAGTTCCTATAGCACCCTTGGGTGAACACCATCTGCTGCTAGAAACACGAACTGTTCCACTGCACAATCTGCACATCTGTAGCTGTAAATCACTGAGTTTGTGCAATTGCACACAGAGTGCCCCAGCAAGAAGGGCACTGAGCAGCAGGCATGCACACCTTGGGGTAGCCAGACACCATCCTTTGACAACGACAACTGACATCACTGGGTGGCATCACAGCTTGACAACTCAGGATGTTCTGCCCTTTGACATCATCCCTTCAGCATGGAGAGGAAATCACCCATGTCACAGGGCATGGTCCTCCAGAGTTCAAACATTACATGGCACAGAATAATGGTTATGAGCGAGTTTGGCAGTCACTGAAGTGTGCACACAGTGCTTCACAGCTACAGCAGTGCCATGCTCTCAGAACAGGCTCAAAAGCAGGCAGCACTATTCAGAGAGCAAAATTTTATGTCAGCTGCCAAGATTACCACGGCTGCTACATGTCCTTTTAGCTATTATTTATACAAGCAGTCATCATACAGCTGGTAAATTAAAGTTTTGAAAAATATTCTTGTCTTGTAATAGTGGCAGAAGCAGTCTGGCTAGTGGGATCTGTATCATAAAAGTGGCAGCTCCTTCCATTACATGCAGCATTTCCCATTTGATAGCTAAAACATCCTGCATGAGACAAGATCTATGGAGTCTGCAAACATCAGTACAAAAAACAATGGAGCCATATTTTTGTTTAGAGTTAGCACTGATAACTGTTTTTCAACATGCTGCTTGGAAAGTGAAAATCTTCAAATGCAGATCAACTATTTCAAAGACTTTTTCTCTTTCCAGTAAAGCTCAAGAAAATAAGAGGAGCTTTTAAGCTGCAGTCCCTTAATACCAAAATTGATAATTAAAATGAAAGGCAGGGGGATCAACAAAAAAACCCTCACGACTCAGACAACTGAAACTGACCTTCATGGACGTTCAAAGTTAAAAGTAAGCTCTCATTCCCAGAACTGCCTTTCATTAGCACTCAGCACAAAGCAATCACATTACTTCCCCAACATCTCCTTTCCTTCCCTTTTCGAAAGCAGAGAGGAAAAGAAATCAGCTGACCTTTTGAACAGTAGTAGTGAGGTCCAAGCAGAGCTGAATGATTCTGTTCTTCATTGATGAAAAGTCAGCAATACCTGTAAATGGGGTCCTACAACAAGAGAAAATTCCCCTTAGACTGGAGGGACCAGTCTTCTCCCATCCTACTTTACCAGTGAGGAAGAGCATATGAGAGCAAATGCTGCAACTCTGACACTGACAGGTGAGAGGATAGGTTTACAATGTAAATATTCCTGACTGCACAGTCCTGGCTCCCCTCCTGCACCAAAACGGGGAATTTTCTAGCCCTGTCCTTGCGTTTACCAGTGAGAGAACTTTCAACTTTCTGACCGGACAAGGGAAAAACAGTTCTCTAAAAGAAGAAAAATAGATTTTCACATTTTACACACAGAGGTCCCAGTGAGACTTAGAGAAGAATCATTACAGGTAGGGCAGCTTTAGGACCTGAAGAGTCCCACCTCTGACCTTTCAGACAGTTTCAAAGCCTAGAAGAGGGGTTGAGAAATAACCATAGCAGGTCTGGAAATGGACAAGCCAGCAGTTTTGATGACTGTGAGTTACAGAAAAAAATCTAGGATTGAGCTGCCAGCAACAGAGTGAGAGGAGAGGACCAGGGGAGAGGCACAAAGGGTTAACATCGCTGCCTGGACACAGATCAAGTTCTCACTTGAGAGCAGGAAAAAGGATGAAAGTGCACCTTGCTGCCAGTCCCTGTGCAGTCATTCTCCTAACTCTCCTTCTCAGGCAAGCTAGCAAGGGCTTTGAGAATTTATGTTCATCTCTTATTGTGGACTGCACCCCTGCCAGCACCTGACCTGCTGCAGTTGTAACAAAATAACTTTGGCTCTTTCCAGGCCAAAAAAAAATTTAATAAGACCAAGCAAAAGAGAAAATGAAACAGCAGAAGGATAATCTCTTCCACTGCTCAGTTTTCAAATAACATAGCTAAGGCCATGATTTCAGCAGAACATTTAAAAAATCTTCCAGGAAGGGATCTGCCAATGACAAGTAATCTAGAAGCTGGGAAAACCATGTGTATGAGAAACTGACCTAAAAGGGAACACCCATACTTTTACAAATACCATTTTGAGTGCAACCTTAACAGTTTCATTGCTTTTAGCAAGAGTGGAAGTGCAAGAATGATACCCTAGGTTAAATTAATCCACTAGAGGTCTTCTAGCAACACTAAAAAAAGGGGGTTAGCAACATGAAGATCTTTACACCCAAGCATCTAGGAAAGGCCCTACAAAGAGAAGCAATTCCTTAGAGCAGCAAATTAAAACATAACCGTTTCATTCTTACCTGTCCAACCATGCAAGCAAGGCTTTAGCAGCACCAATAAGCTCCACAACAGAAGTAAGGAATTCATTGGGGGGCTTGCGAGAGGTATTTCCATCATAACTGGAACTTTTCCTACGGCTGCTGATGTAGTTCTGCAGATTGTTGGATGACCCTCGCAGCTTGAGAACCAGGTTCTTCATGTTGTCTGTTTCAAGGCCATAGTTCTGCAAGGAACATTATGAGGCTTGATAAATGACCTTGTTGAGTTCTCCTATTTATTATAAAACAAGTTAAAAGCTCACATGGGATGAGAAGTCTTGATGATTTGCACAACTTTCTCATGGCTGTTTGGCAAAAATGCCTTGAAAGATTTGTTCTATGCTGTAGCCAGTAAAGAATACTTTTGTAAGTGCCAAACCTCAGTTTCTATCATTAATGAGATTTAAGGACACTTTTTCATCAGAATCAAGTCCCAATGTCCTAATAGATATCATTTACTTGTTAAATGTGTTGCTCTTCTTTGTGTTAAAGTAGAGCAAGCATTTTGTTTTTCTTAAAACATTTTTTATCATATGGTAAATAAACACTGAAGTAACATTTCATTCACAACTAAAGATAAGTTAAATCTGGTAAGAGATTAAAACATCAACAGGAAGCAAATGCAGTTTTGCAATCAAAAGCTTAAATAAATATTTGAATCACCAGTTTTCAGTAACTGTGCTCCTTGACTACAACAGTGCAATTATTTGCAAGTTTGAGGACAGTGTTAACATCATACATGGTAATTAAACTCATTTTTAGACATCAAATTTTTCATTCATTTACAAAACAAAGATCTGAGAGCCTTGCCTAGAACTTCAACTTTATAGATTCAAATTCCTACTTTCCTTGAGAAAAAAAAAAACAAAAACAAAAGAGTGCCAAACAACAACAAAAAAACCACTCCCACCAGAACAAAACATAAAAATACAAGAGAGTCCTGCCCTTCACTTTTCTTTTGCTGCTGCAGATTCTTGCAACTAAATTCCAACTTCCATAGTTCAGTCAGATATACTCTCTACTCCTACTTTCCTACTCAAAAACCTAAACCAACTAAGGCAAATTTTAATTCCATTTAATTCCTAGTTGCTGGCTTGTAGCTCCATTGCCTCCAGAGTGAAGGATCTGTAAAGCAGGCTGGAACATTTCAGATTAAGTCATTTACAAAATGTAAGATTCTTTGACTCAAAGAAACACATGTCTCCAGTGTATGGAGAGGTGACAGCTACACAGCTACCTTTAAAAGCCTACTGCCTCCTATGGATAAGATCCCAGTGGGTTTAAGTTACACAAGTGCCTCCCTCCTCCACCTCAGGGCTCTTGGCAAGGAAATACCCTAATGTGCAGCCAGGAGTAAGGGTTGAAAGGATATGTCCAATTTTAAAAAATGCCACTGTTGCAACAGCAAAGGATATCCTTAAATTTTCCAGGATTACAGAAAGGGAAAGATCTGGATTACTAAACAACTTTAAAGTACTTGCACACTGTGATGTGTGAACTTATCACCTTTTAATTTTAACAAAAACAATAAAAAAAAAACCCCACCAAAAAAACTCAGCACCCCAAGAGCATTATTTGAATGCATTTCTTGCAGTTAGTTTTATTCTCCTCTTAGAAGACTGAATATTAGTCTACTGTTGAGGGAAAACTTTTTCACAAACAGGTCTGGATGTGGGGCAAGTTCCTGTAACGACAAGAAAGTAGCCACATATCAGAAACCCTGCCCTTACAGAGGGGAACTAGAGGATGCTGATCCCCTGCTTTCATAAAGGGACAGAAAACAGAAAGTACTTTTTCTGTGCAGAGGTACAACCCAATCACCCTGATTAGAACTTGAGAGTTTTCATGTAATTAAGTATCTCCAGATCTTTCTTTCTGTCATTCAGATGCAGAAACTCAGCCAAGCACCTGTGGGTACTTGAGATTAGAGGTGGCACCAGCATTTAAGAGGATATGTGTTGTTGATATACCAGGTGAGATTTTGGGCTTGGCCTTAAAACATTCACATACCCCTTATCACACCTTGCACCTTATTTATACCACAGGTGAGTCTGGCGTGACTCTTCCAGTTCAGGTAGATTTTCAATAATTCTGTCAAGTTGTTCTCAGTTTTGAGGGTGACTTCAGCAACACATGCGCAGCCTCTAGGGATGCAGGGGCTCCAGCTCATAACTGCAACTGGTGTCTCCAAAAGATTCTCAAGAGCCCATCATCACAGCCAAGCTCCAAGTCACTGCTCTAAGTTCCCTCCTACAGCTTCCCCCAAGGGCTCTACAGAGTGCACCTCCACTGCTAAACCAGCAGTTTGTGCTTCAGGAAAGGTCCTGACCAAGCACCTCACCTACGCAGCACAACACAGGGTATGCAGCTCTTGAGTACCAATCCCAAGCTGGACAACTGTGGATCCGCCCTAGTGGATGAACTACCCCAAAAATAGGAGTCATCCCAACCCAAGCCACCTTTGCTCCACCAGTCCCCTCACTTTGTGCTCTAATACACAGAGAGCATTTTGCCACTTCACCACGTACAGCAATGCCTTTATCCAAGCTGAAACTCTCTTGACCAGCTCTCACATCACCAACTATTCTTTCTCCTTCACTTGCAATGTCCAGTCTGTTGGGAGGGTTGGCTTGGGGATCTAAACAATACAAAGAAATCTAATCCCTTGGTTTAGCTCCCTGAAGTAGCTCACTTCAGGGTCAGGTGAGTGCAAGCACAAAGAATCACTAATCAGAGGACAGGAGGGGGTGGAGACAGCAGCTGACTTGGATTAATTGAACTTGTCATAGAACTGTAGCCCCAGTCCACAACAGATAGGAATGCTGATATTGTGGCAGCACACCAAACAACCTTCACAGTGACACATAGTCGAAGTGCAAAGCTTAGCAAGCTTTTCTTGAAATATTTCCACAGGATTAAGGCTACAAGAGTTTAAAAATTATTACTTAAGCAACCAAAAGGTTTTAGATGTTGCTCATGAACCGAAAATAAAGGTTGCACCTTACTACTGCTCCTGATTTTAAACATCAAAGTTGTTTTGACCTAAACACAGGCTGAAGCCAGCGGTCAAGAGCACCTGATGTCAAACATTCCCAGGCTAGTACTCATTAACCTGGGGAGCCACATGCAGGGCTGGAGGAGAGGCAGCACCCACACGTGCAGGAGAGAGTTCACTCCTTTCTAAACTCCATCTCATTTAATGAGAAAAAGTAATCTGACCAATGGCTCAAGGTCAGGCAGCCAACAAACAAAAAGATAAAAAACAAAACAAAAAAACAAACGTGGTTGAAGTCAAAAGAGCAGAGCAGTTGTGTCAGAGCTGAACTGGGCTGATGAAGAGCTCTGCTACTGCCCAGGGACAGCATCCTTTTCTGTTTCACAGCCATGATCACATGCTGCAATGTGATGAGTTGGACAGGCTGGCTGATTGAACTGAAAACCTGTTCTGGGAAAAAAAATGAATAAAACCAATCCAAATGCTTGCTCAGATGCTGACCCAACTCACTGCAGGCGATATAAAGAATTAACACAAGGTACTGTCACAGTCACCCATTCTTGCTCTTTTCCTTCTAACAAAAATGCATTCTAAAGAATCCTCTGGAGTAGTAAACTTCCTAAAAAACAACAAAAAATTTGAAGCATCTAAAAAAACTAAAATCTTATGTGGCAGTGCATAGATATAATTAGGATGATTTTTACATGATTAGGACCCAAAGGGCAAGTGTTCACAAATGCTTTTTTTTCATGTTATGATGTTATATTTTGTTATGCTGCAAACATGCTGGCAGAACATTACCACCAGTAAAATTATGAAAGGCACAACTATGTCCTTTCTTGGTTAATGAGTTTTTCAGAGTTTGGGGTGCTTTTTTAAAATTGTATATAACTAGTATCTTTTTATTCTAACCTCAAGAAAAATCCAGTGCATTTTTGTTTCCAAACTCTCCCAGCATACAGTGTAGGCAAAGATTCAGAAATCAAATCCAAAGAACACATTACAAGTGAAAATATTTGCATAGTTTCTTGCTTACATTGTTTTATATTCATTAAGCCCTCAAAAGCTTGTTTTCTGTCCCTGCTTTTGTGGTTTGAAAAGCAAAGTTATGTATGTTTGTTCCCCTCTCCCACAAATACTTCAATCAACAAAGAAACATGATCTTTCTTCCATCTCTTTCCCTCCTCCCCCCAAGCAGTACTGTCAACAAAAAGTTGATATACTCAAGTTGATTTTTTTCCCCTCTTCAGGGGGAATTCAGGTCCTTTGATATATCCTCTAAATTCCTCAAATAAGTCTCCAACACCTGTTCAGAAAACTCTATTAGACCAGCTCAACAGCAACAGAAATGTTTATTCCAGTCTGCACTCTCCTGCTGACTCTTCAAGATGCTGCATATGCAGCCACTGCCATGAGGACATGAGGGAACACTGCTTCACCACCAAAGCTGTAGAGAAAGATCCAATTATTTCTTTTTCACACCAGAAACTTGCAGACATAGTTTTAGCTCAGTGCTGCCAAATAGTACTCAGTCCCTAGAAAAACTAAATTAAAAAATCAGGTGCATTTGGTGTCCTCTCTCAAGGCAAGGACTATGTTCACACTCTATTTAGTGACTGATCTACAGAGGCTGGAACAAAGGTCTCTGTGGTGATTGCCTGAAAAGAGATACTGTAGGAGAAAGAGGTTCAAAAGAGAGCTTCCTCACTGCCTGCAGAGCCACATGTGGTCTTGTGGTGTGAGGGAACCAAAGCATTGATCTGAAGGAAACTTAGCTGGGGAACTGCCAAGGCAAAACTAGGTAAAAGGGAAAATTCTTCTTGGGAACTCCAGGACTGGGAAAGCACCAAAATCCCCTCTCAGCCTGTCTCCACCAAGAATGACAGCAGGCTGGCCCAGCCAATGCTACACTGCCACACTGTGAGCTGACAGCTTAGTGGGGGTGGCAGTGGCATCAAAAAGGGGGCAACAAAAAAGAAAAAATTATTAAAAAAAGAAAAAAAATAGTTCCTTTGATTACAAGGCCCCAAAGTTAGGGAAGTGTCAGCATATGTCCAAAACATCCACTAAACAATAAACATTCCCACTTTCAAAGAACTAATGCAGGTGGAATCAGGAAACCTCTCGCTTGCACAAAAAGAAGAAACAACAAAAAATTTTAGTTGCCACTAGCATTCCAAGTACCCCTTGGAAACAAAATCAGTGGTGATTCTATGCAGCTCCAAAAACCCAAGGGAACAGGCATCAAGAAGGTGGGAAAGGGCATACTGAAAACACAGGAATTCTTCCTTCACCTCTTAAAAAGGGAACAAGTACATTTCAGCTGTTATATGCAGTATTTGTCTAATGCATTAACTTGAGCTGCATTTCACAAAGGATTTCCAGAAATGGGTCTGAGGTCAAAACTTTTGTCTACAAAGGAAATTAGAAGGAAATTGTAAGAGATAAAACACAGCTTTAGGTTCTGGCAGTTGTCCAGCTTTGTTCACTTTATTCTAATATTTTTAAGAGAATAAAAAAGTGCCTTTAGGGACTACCACATAGATGACTTCAGTCAGGACCATATACAGCCTACACCACATTTACTAACTCATCAGACGCCCACACTTGCCCAACAAGTTCCTTCCCACACCACAAACTGCTTTTCAGTCCAGCTACATTCTTCAATTAGGTTTTCAAGGTAATGTCAAAATTTTTTGGTAGATCAAATACCTAAAGGAAATAAAATGTCTTTAAAATATAAGAATAACTTTTTTGAGAAACATTTCAGATTGTTTGAAGAGATTCCATTAAATATGCTTCTTTCAGTACAGTTTGCTCCAGGTTGTGGAGTAGGAACACTCCCTGTAGCACCTCTCTGCAGCAAATAAAACACATATCATAGAGACAATAAACAGTCTCCATTTTAAGAAGCATATGCAGGCTGCTCCAAACCTTGCCTAATGTAGGGAAGACAGGCCATTGCTGGCCAAGGAATCATCAGGCAGGCTTTCCCACCCTCTTCCCTGATGTAATTATATACACCTCTGCTGCTCATTACACTGCACTGCATCAAACAGGCCTTCAAGGCTGTGACCAGAATATGGCTTTTGAATAAAGCCTGCACTAGTAAAACAATCCAAAATATATTTATGCTTTTCAGAGCATGTTTGTTTTCAAAGTATCTGCAGTTATATATCAGGAGTAGGACAAAAGAACAGCTTAAGTTCTGAATCCAGTGAAGAGTTCAGCTAAACTGTAACTGAGCTGACAAAACATCCCTCATCTCAAGAATTAATTTTTCTTCACTTCCTAGGTTTGCTACAGAATTACTCTAAACCCATTTCAACCGATGTGAGGAACTTCTAGCATCTGTAATTTCAACAGTGTGTTTTCTGTCTTCTAAGACAAACTGTCCAGGAGCCACAAGATCTAACAACATCACCCAGACAACTTCTTCCTTTGGAAGTGCAAGCAAATGAATTGAAGTTGTCTCTTACCAGGAAAGAGTTAGAGAGCTATTAATACAAAACTTGCAAGAATTAAATGAGTTCTTACTTTTTTTCTTTTATTGTGACGTGTAACAGAAAGCAAGAGACAAATGTATTTTGGTTTTACCCATCTTGCTTTGGTTATTCACCAAAAAAGGCCATTTAAGAAATTCTTTGCATATCTGTTCACAGTGTAACTAACCAGTGCACACAGGAGATCCACAGCCTCTAGAACCAGCTCCTGGTGTCCAATCCGTGAGATACCCAAGTCTTCAAGGTCCTGGTGAGAAATCTGTAACAGCTGCTCACCATTTATCTTCTCCCGTTCAAATTTATGGACATACTGCTGCAGGCAATCATCCAGACCTGCCAAAACACAAGAGAGACAAGGGGACATTAGAAACAAACAAACTCCTCCAAAAAAGAAAATCTAGAAAAAGGCAGAAATTTAAAGTTCATATAATATACAATGCAAAATTAAGAATGAAACTTGCAGTGACTGAGGTTGTGCCACAGGAGCACAGAAATAGAGCACATAAGTTATGGGGATCTTTGGGTCACCTAAGTCAAGGCACAACCTGCCTGCTCCTTGTGGATCAAGCTCAGCCAGTAAAAATGTGCTTTGCTGTCTGCACAGGCAAAGTGACCAAGGGACATACACATCAGCGTAACCCAAACCCTGAGAGGCATCCACAGCAACAATAAAAAAATAACAACCGTCCAAAAAAAAAACCATCCAGGGCAAGGCAAGAACAAAGATCTTGCCCAATGCCTGTTAAACAAGCAAAGAAACAAAAGCATAAACTGATGAGAAGGAAAATGACAAAAAAAAAAAAATAAAACACAAAGGCAAAGCAATCAAAAGGATGTTTGGCTCAAGTCTCATTATTACCTTGATTTATAAGAGCCTGCAGCTTCCTGAAGCAGCCATTGCTTCCCCTTTCTGAGGATCAACAACACACACCAGTAAGAAATCTAAACCATTTTTCTATCTAGAAGTATTTTTAAACCAGTTTAGACTATTTTGTTCCAGCAATATCCCCAAAATCTTCACTTTAAACAATGATTCTATGATCCTGTTCTCTACAGTAGGTTTTTCCAAGTGATTACAGAAAGTGTTTCTGGTTTTTATCTCATTTTACTCTAAGCTTCATGTGTTAATCCTGTTTCCTTGTGTATTTTCCTTATGTCCTCTGTTGTTTAAGAGCCTGTGAACAGCAACAATCTGGGGGAGAATTTGGATGGATGTGTTATTTTTTAAATGTTTCAGTGCTCTTGTAACTCTGTTCCCCTTCAATATTTTGGCTGGAGCAAAAGGAACAGACCCAATTAGGTCTGTTTCACAGGAATACACCACACTCATTGAAAACAGTTGACATGAGCAAAAATTCAAATAACACATTTGACGTCTTCTTTGTATTGTCCAATACAGCTACATTGTTTTACCATTCCTTTTTAAAAAAAGTTGAACCTTTACTTGAATAAAGGATGTTTATGCACAACTCCGGTTCAAAAGGAAACCATTGAGATGGACAGGATATCAAACGCAGCAGATGAGAAACACGAACAGCATCCTGAACTACAGAGAAATGAAAACACCAGCACTCAGCTCCACTCGTGGAGCTGCAGCAGCAGCCTGGAAAACAAGCACTCCCAGCACACTCTACCACCAAGAAAACACTTGACTCAAATCACAAAGGGGGTTTGAGGAGTCACATGAAACAAATTCACGCCCAAACAGCGGCAGGAGCAGGCACAGCTTCCCCACAGTGCCTGTGCACAGCAGATGTGCAGAAGATGGGCTCCAAAGGCACAGCAGATGTGCAGAGGATGGGCTCCCAAAGGCACAGCAGATGTGCAGGGGATGGGCTCCAAAGGCACAGCAGA